CCGGCGTTATTATCGCCATTCTCTGCGATCGGGGCTCGCTTTCTGCTATTTTTGTGTGAATGCGATGTTGCACTCACACAAGAATATAACATTTAAAAGCGCTCGGAGTTCTTTCTCCCAATGTATAATTTTAACTTGTCCATTACAACTTGTCTCTGATCATGTAATTTATTGCACGTGGACCGTCGATGTAAATATGACAAAAACACGTAATAAATTTTAAATTAGACAGAACAATAGTTTTTGTTACAACTACATGATAAAGCGCTATATAAATCAAACGGAGTTTTTATCGAGGTAAAGAGTCGAATTGAAGTTTATAACAATTACATTTTATTGTCAATTTAAAAAATGCAATTTTTGGGGCAGTAAAATTAACACACCTGTACGTACATGTGCAACGGGGGGACAGCCTGTTACAGGCTTTAATTTAGATTTTGAATTATATCTCGAAGAGCATATTGAATGTTTGTGTGCGCGCACGTTTATCAAACAAAAGTGCAATAAGTCTCAATTATCTAACTGGTTATTTATTAGTGCATCTAATAAAATTCAAAAAGCAATTTCACGTGTGCGAATGCAGATTGTCAAAATGAGAGAGAATGAGGTTTGCGTTGTCGCGGCAACGGTCTCGGCGCAAACGGTTCGATAGCGAAGCGTTATATATATATTCTGTACGAAAATTTTAATTGAACAGCGCGCATATGAGTATCGCATGAAACGTTACTGTCAGACTAATAAGGTAATCTACTCCTCTCTCTCGCTGAAAGAATCAACGTGCCTTTTAGCTTAATTGTGCTTCCGAGCTCGGTGCGCGCTCGCTCTCGCTTGCCCGTGCTAATACTATTACCTCCTTACAGTCTCGACCATTAGAAGCTGGGCGGGAAAGGGATGATAAGAATACCCGGCATCCCGACAGAGACAGTACGCTGTTGCGAAAGAAAATAAAGACGTCCGAGAGGTTTTTAGTCGCGCGATTAATCCGTCTGCTACAACAGAAGTTCATTTCTTTCGATCGTGTGACGCAAAGAATCTAAAAAAAAAACAGTACAATGTGTAATTAATTAATATTATTCCGAAGAGGAGAAATATTATAATACTTTCTGAAATAACAAGTTTTTAATATAGCAATATGTAAGATAGATGTCCCGCGAGATCGGACAAGTGCCACTGGTGACTGACATTTTATCAAGGAAATAATTATAACTAAATATTTGGGAAGAACGAAAATGGTGATTAATTAATATTATTCTGAAATGGAGAAATAATTGTAATACTTCCTGAAATAACAAAAAGCTATATATATATATTAAGTAAAATTTTAATAAAAATGTATAAGAGAAGCGTTTCATTGATCAAACGAGTACCACTGGCGTGACATTTATTAAAAAAAAAATTATAACGAAATATTTATATATAGAAAATTAAAGTTGGGAAATTAATTTTAAAAAAGTACTTAAAACATTGAGAATTGTTGTAATTATATATTAGATATATACGTTTAATATACTTATATAACAATAATTTTTTAAATAAATATTCGATAATTGGAACATTTATCTTCTATCAGATATTTTTCTCTTAAATTTTGGATACATTAAGAAATCGATACCACAGAACTTCTCCGATGACGGAGAAGATAGAGCACAGAAAGTGTCATTCAATTCGCGGTTTCTTCAATCATTCGTCTCGAGCAAATCTGTGTAATTCGACAATCGTTTAATATAATGTCAGATCTCTGTAGATACTAACCACGCGCGGTCACGTTTTCGCCGGAGCAAGTTATCGATCGAAGAGTCCTCCGACTTGGAGAGCGTCCAGCGTCAAGTCACTTCTTGAGACGTTCCAATTGTCCCCAAGTTCCATTACCGCGCGAACTTCAGACACCACCGCGCGACTGTAACTTGATTCGTCTCAGCCGTAAGGGATCTTTAAGCCAGTCGGTGTGTCCTCTCTCGCGCAAAAACGAAAACGTCACTGGCTCAAGACTGCGCAAATCCTTGCGGAACTCTCTCTCCCGCTTTGCTCGAATTACGCGAAAATTCTTAAACCGCGGTACTACTGCTAACCGTAAGAGGACGTAATTGCAAAAAACGCGATACACGACGGTAATTAACAAGAAATCGTCGCCGCGACGTTAGAGTTAAATGAGATATTGTTTTACTCACATTCATGCGCCGTTTGTGTGTTACTGTGCGCGTTTCTCGGTTTTTTAAGACTTTCTTTTCTTCCGCGTATAACATGACATATGTTTTGTGCGAACCAACCAAGTATTTTTGTCGACACACGTATCGATTGTAACTTTTAACATTGAAAGTGTAATTTAATTTTGATTACAATTGAATATTATATGACTTTAGATAAAAACTGAAATATCATTAAAAAATACATAAAAATCTATCTTTTACAATTCGCGATATATAATATATAATAATTTTGCTCGACGAAATTGCCAATTATTCATGACGCGTCTCGATATTTTCGATTTTGCTGAATGATACATTAACATCTCGCGAAACGTTCGAAATATATTATGAATATTCAAGTATTTAATGTGTGTGACGTATGCTCAAATAATATTAATTTTCCATTTGTGATAAATTTTGCAATAATAGATATTTTCGCGTTTCACGTACAGATTGTCTGAAAGTTTTTGACACACAGCCGAAGTACAAAATCAATCCGAACATAAAAGTCACGTACTATTTTGCAAAGTAAGCGATATGAGCTATTAATTAATTAATTAGCGTGTAAGAAGCGATGGGGGCTCGATTCTGCAAGAGTGTATAAACAAATCGTGTGATTGTCGGTGTGATTGCGAAACAATTACTTCATACAATGTTTTAACAACGAGAGGAAATGTTAACAAGATTCAGGTTGTATATACATTGTATTAATACGATTGGTGTATTTGAATCAGCCGAAGGACGCTGTACGCTATCAAAATAATTGCAGGTTGCATAACAGACGCGCCGGAATTCGAAAGCGTGTGTTGTATACAGAAAATACGGTAAATACGACAATCCGCTCGAAATATTAATACTGATTAATGTAATGTAAAATCGATGACCACACCGATCGCGTGTATAATTGATCTAACAGATCTGTAGAAACGGGACGAGAGAACGCGTAGGGTTCCGCGAACATATCAATTCCGGTCGTTATTAATCTGCCGGAACAAGGTGGAGCTTCTAATCTGTCCCCTCCTCCCCCTATCCGCGGCACGTTTATCCGCGGCGCAGATTTAATCTGCATTGAATTTAATTAAAATCAAGTGCTTCCCACACAACCCACAGTGGCGTATTCTCGTTGACAATTGCATGCAGATTGGATTAAGCTAGGAATTAGAACGGAGGGCGAATTTACGCTCCCGCGCGCCAACTCGGGCACGCTCGTTTGTCTATATTAATATTCGAATACGTGAAACTGGGTTGAATCGCGCTGTAAACTTCCGATTGTCAATGGGTGGTAAGACAATTCACAGAGCGAGTTCGAAATTGTCGCCCGTTCTTTCTCTTTCTTTCTCTTTGTGCAAAGGGTATCTCAAATTTGTTTAATCATCACACACATTACATCTGTCTCTGACGCGGCTGTTTCAAAGCTGTTTATGTGTGTCGCGCGCGATAGGATTTTGAAATGTGACGCTAAACATCGACCGGGTCATTTAAATGAGACCCGCCAGTGTACAAAGACACTGTCCCAATGACCGAATACGTATCAATGGCCGGATATTTATTAAAGAAACAAAGTATATATATATATATATATATATATATATATATA